AGAAATAACATTAACTTTGCTGCATCAATTGCCTAACAGTATATATTCAAACGCTTTCCCAAGCGTTTTTCTTCATGAGAAAATATCTACACATGCCCTTCCTGCTTCCTGACCTGGACGATACGAAAGATTATAAAAGTGGCACCTCGCAATACTGGCACTCTTCTTGCCCCATGCTCATCACCGTATAAGTTATAATTCTAAGGCCCCACCAGAGAGGCGGACTATAGCGCAATAATCTGTCTTTTGATCCGACTACAATGTGGTTCTTCAAGGCAAAATAAAAAAGAGTCTTGTTAAATATTTATACACAGTAAAATAGTATCGAAATTATAACTGGCTAACTATTGAAAAAACCAACCTAATATGATTTAAAAAAATTATCTAACATGTTCACAATTAATAGAAACTTAAAAGTAACATTGGAAAACTGTCCTGAACTAAAAAATTTATTTTATTCTTTTTGGAAAACTAATAACTAACAATAACAGTAAATGAATGAATAACAACTAGAAGGCCATTTAAAAGTTTTCACCTATACATATTATGAACTTAAAAACAAATACACTAAATTAACAAAAATAAACAGAGGAACACTCAACAAAAGAAATTTTTTGCTAAAACATTTTTGATTGAAGTGTAATCATCAATGTAAAATTGCATCTTAAAATGCAGAAAACGCTTTTATCCTAGCTCAATCCTATCTATATAAATAAAAATAATATTATCCAAAGTTAAGATTTTTCGCCCTAATACTTAATTAATACTCACCAAAACCTTATCGCTATGTAAGTAAGGTTTTTCCTGTGTCCACGTAGACAGAGAAACCTATAGACTAATGATTAGCGTGGCCTCGAGTGAGAAAGGACGATAACGTAGTTTTAGGTTATACGATAATCTTTACGACTTTTAAACATATTTAGATAAAATTTTTAATTGTTCTAAGAACTGATCTGAACAAGATTCACCAATCTTAAGTTCACAAAACACCTTTTTTCTCACTTTAACCAACTTTTAAACTCCTTATATCGCTACGAACTGTCAAAGTTATTTAGCAAAGTGTAGTTTGCTAAACAAAAAAACCGGCACGGAGAAAGGGTCAAGCAATCACACCGCTCCGTCTCATTTCTATGCAAGATGTATGCATAAATCTATCTTTTTCGTGTGCGAATGCGAAAGAAGGCGTCAATTTGTCTATAGGTTTCTCTGTCTACGTGTGTCTAATTGCATTCAAACAGATTCAAGATGTTTTTTACTCCTTCACGCCACAACGACTGAAAAGATTTGGATACTCTGAATTAACACAAGCTACATTTAATTAATAAATTCAAGAACTTTTTAATTTTCGCTTATCCACGTGGTCACATGTCGTGGGTATCATTTAGATAACAAGTAAAATAAGTAAATAAATTTAAATATAATAATTAAAGGAAGTTTTAGTATAGATGTATCTATAGTTTTTTTTTTTGTTAAATTTATTTAATCTAAGGACGAAAATTTTTTATTCACACTTTTAAAATAATAGTAGGTAATCTTTTTGTTGAGTGTTTGATGATAGATGTTAATGCTTCTTCAATGAATAATGATGAAAAATTAACGATATCGATCGGCACATCATAGTCCCATCACACATCAATATGACACCATTTCCAATTAAACACTAACCCTACAGTTTTTGCGTGAATTAAATAGTAAACCACTGTAAAATAATCTCAAATTTGGATATTTATGGAACCAAATGATTAGAAGAAATATGTTAACTGATTTGTGATCTAACTTTGAAATTAATGTGATATTTTCATATAACTATTAATACGTAATATATTTTTTAAATATTATAATTTGAATAAAAAAGGACGTATAAATTGTTTTTGTTTATTAAATATGATCAACCGTTGACTAAATGTGTTTGTTTTCCTGTTATCCTGACCCCCATACAGTTATTATGGTTCATAAAAGATAGCTTGATCTCTCAGCTGTCAGTAAAATCACGCCTATGAAGTCCTGAGTTTCTTAGTAGTACAGTCACGTAGATAGAGAAACCTATAGAAAATTGACGCCTTCTTTCGCATTCGCACACGAAAAAGATAGATTTATGCATACGTCTTGCATAGGAATGAGACAGAACGGTGGGATTGTTTTTCCCTTTCTCCGTGCCGGTTTTTTTGTTTAGCAAACTACACTTTGCTAAATAACTTTGACAGTTCGTAGCGATCTAAGGAGTTTAAAAGTTGGTTAAAGTGAGAAAAAAGGTGTTTTGTGAACTTAAGATTGGTGAATCTTGTTCAGATCAGTTCTTAGAACAATTAAAATTTGTATCTAAATATGTTTATAAGTCGTAAAGATTATCGTATAACCTAAAACTACGTTATCGTCCTTTCTCACTCGAGACCACGCTAATCATTAGTCTATAGGTTTCTCTGTCTACGTACAGACAGTACCTGTCAATGTCATACTTTATGGGCATGCCGACCTATAGTTCATAAAAGATAGCTTGATCTCTGCGACAGCTGTCAATAAAATCACGCCTATGAAGTCCTGAATTTCTTAGTAGTACAGACAGACAGTACCTGTCAATGTCATACTTTATGGGCATGCTGACCTAATTAGTGCATGCCCATAAAGTATGACATTGACTGGTACTGTCTGTACTATTAAGAAATTCAGGACTTCATAGGCGTGATTTTTACTGACAGCTGTCGCAGAGATTTATTTATTTATTTTATTTATTTATTTATTTAACATATTATACATGATAAAGAGGATATAATATGATACAACATAAGCTTAATGAAAAACTTTACCGTGTACCACAAACCACCGACATAATTTTTTTTTAAATATGAGCTACACCTTAATCTACAAAATATGTTTAATGCAACACTATTAAACACTAGACAGCAATTGGCACGGTCAACACGCGGTAAATCGGCAATACACACGTAGTTACCTCATAGTGAACAAGAAAGGTGTGAGTCTTGCTACCGCCCACTTCACCGCGTCAAAAACCGGTCGTTCCTGCGTTGATTGTGTGTTGCGTAGTTACTTAACATTTAATAGTAAACGAATATAATGATTATTTTTAGGTTGTATATCATAGGTAAATATAGGAAATATAGTTAGTGGGGATTATAGTATTTAATTTTATTATTTTTTAAGCCTGAAGTCTGATATATACAGTTCGTATAGTAGTTTTTTAATTTGTGTTTAATATTTTTATGATTAACTTCATTTTGAAAAGATACATTCGCGTTGTCACTATACAATGACTTATCCAATAAAGGCAGATTACATTTTGGGATTGATTTTTTGACGCTTACGTCGAAAGATTCAGCAAATGAACATGCAATCTTATATGAAGGATATAATCTTATATATCAAGCTATCATTTATGAACCATAGCCATTTCAACTTTGATTTTAAAAAACGAGAAAGCTCGTTGTTAAATGTTATTTATTAATATATATTTTGGCAACACTGTTATTGACTCCCAAAAAGCTTCGTCAAAACACCGGTAGGTGAATTCGTCCTTCTGTAATCGGGGATTTCTTCACGTCGGTACACAAACAGGTAATATTTGTTAATAAAATGTTAAGACTACATATTTTTTATGTGATATTTCGACTATACTGATCATAGTTGAGTGTTCGCAAATCTGTATAATATATAGTATTTTAAGCACATTAAGCATGTTAAAACTGAAAAACATTAACATCTTAACATAACCTAATAAAATATTGTGGCCAATTACTGTATCAATGATTTAAAAAGTTTACAGTAATTGACCAGTAATACCAATAACTATACTTATCCGATACTGAACAAATTATGTCCAAAAAAAAATTTCCTTTATTTTTCGATATTTCACCGCCCATTCTAATCTCATAAAATTTAAATATATATTAATAGTTATTGGCCTAGGCCAAGTACTGTGTCACAAGTAATTCTAAACCATATAAAAAGTAGGCCAATTACTATAATATTAATTTATTTATTTTGAACAAATCACTGCTTTTTTTCTAACAGATTAAAGAACAAAGAACCATGCCAAAAATAAATCACTATTCGAAAGAAGCGCTAGATGAGGCTTTAGAAAAAATTCATAGTAAAACAATGTCTTTGAGAGCTGTTGCAAAAAATATAACATTCCAAGAGCAATTTTACAATTTAAACTGGAAAACCCTGCTTCAAAGTCAGGGTTTGGTCCAACACCCTATTTAACAAAACAGGAAGAAAATTCCATTGAGGAATGGTTAATCAAACGGCCCGCAAAGGTTTCCCAAGAAAATCAGATGATGTACATGACACCATTCAAAAATTTTCGACTGAAAATCCAAGAGAAACTTCTTTCGTTAATAATAGATCTGCACAGGGATGGCTGAAGGCTTTTATAAAACGACACCCCACCTTAACCCAAAGAACTAGCGAAGGAGTAACCAAAGCTAGTGCTTGTGTAGCTGAGTGTGAAATTAAGAAATGGTTTCAAGAAATAAGAAACTACCTAACTAATGAAAACCTTTTAGATGTCGTTAAAGATCCTTGTCGGGTTTTTAATGCCGATTAGACAGGATTTCAGACGTGCCCTTCAACTGGACGTATCCTCGCTGCAAAAGGAGACAAAAATGTCTATGCTGTGTAGTAGGGAAACCCTAAGGAAAGCGTAACCGTTCTCTTTACTTTCTCTGCTGACGGCGTAATATGCCCTCAATGCCATCCTACCCGATAGGGTAGCATCTTCGGTGCCGCCAAAATGGGGATCGGCCGTAGTGATACTACCGTAGGTACGGGGTGGTTGACGGCGGACGTGTTCAATCAGTTTATAACGGAAATATTTGCTCCATATCTTACCGAACACAACATACCAAAACCAAAAGCTAGGCATAGAATTGATTGCACTGTACCCTAACACTACCCGTATTACTCAACCTGCAGATGTGGTTGTTTTCGGACTAATAAAAAATATATATAGAAAAGAAGTAGTAAAATTTTAGGCACATAACATGGGCGAGGTAGTAACAAAATTAAATATTGCCAGCATTTTAAAATGTGTGATAGAAGAGATAAAGCCCGATAACATAATTAATGGCTTCAAAACGTGTGGCTTGTACCCTTTCGATGAAAATGCTATAAATTACACCAAATGTCTAGCAACAAATAATAAGGAAGAAGAAGAGTCCAAAGAAGAAAATAAAATGATATCTCTTAAAGACTTTGAAAGTATAATAGGTGAGGAAATAATTAGCAAAATGAAAGTTCTACAATCTCAGGGAGTAAATGTCAATTCTCCTACCTTGTACAAGCTTTGATCTTGTTTTCAAGGTGATTTTTCAAATATAGAAATACAGTCTCCAATAAATACAACAACCAATGTAAATCTGAGCAACGAAGATAATGTGACAACAGTAAAACTCACCACGACTCCTACAAAAAATATTGACTTATATTTATCTACACCATCTACAACAAAAGATAAGCCTCACTTTAACAAATCAATCAATAAATACTTACAAAATCTGCCAGTAAATAAAAGAAAATTTATCAGGAAGACAGAAAAGAACCCTTATGTAATAACTTCCGAAAATTTTAGAGCATCTATTGAAAGAAGAGAAATAGAGAAACAACAAAAAGAGAATGAAACAATTGAAAGGAAAAGAAAAAGAGATTAGCAAGCAGCCACTCGGAAACAAAACTCAATTGAAAAGAGAAAAAAATGGAAAGACGTGGGGAAGACATCCAAAAATGAAACCATTAAAAAGGAAACTGAAACTGTTACTCCTCTTAATGACATAGAGAGAAGCACTAGTAACGTTGAGACTGTAAATAAAAATGTTTTAATTGAATCTACTAATAAAATAAAGATATTACACAACATGTTACTGATTACTTGTAATTCATGCAGACGTCTAGCTTTAAAAAATAAATCTTAATTGTGTAGTTCATGCAAGAAGTCGTATCATAATCAGTGCATTCCTATTAAGCACAGAGAACATATCGCAGATGAAGAAGACATTTTAGATTTTATATGTCATAACTGTTACATAATGAATGATGACTCAGTGGATGAGGTCAATAATATAATCAGTATTAATTCAATAGGTGAAATTATTCAAGAATCGTTTCGTTAAAGTGAATGTCATTTTATTTTTTGTTTTCTATGATTAATAGTAGGAGGAGGTAAAGCTTAATTCTTAGTAGATGTGAAAAATTTTATTTTTTGCTTTTTATGGCCGATAACTGTGCCAATTTCTGGGCAATAATTGTAAATATGTGGCCAACTACTGTAAATTTGAAGATTCTGTTTTTGTTTTAATTTTATTACGAAAATATAATAAATAAGAATACGTAAACAATATTATTTGTTTTATATACACTTAGAGAATATAATTAAAATAGTTTTGTTTAAAACTATCAATTTTTATTTTAATTTTACCAATTGAATTTATAAGGTAGCTTAACTGGCCCATAACTATACCGTTTCCCCTAACTAATCTCGTGGGGAGTGTGCTTATCACATTTTGATTATCACTCCGAGGTTTATGAAATATTATGTACTCGATTATCGTATCGGTAAAGTTCTCAATCATTATTTATGATATTATTTTAAATGTTTATACTAAAAAGAAAGCATATATCACAGTAAAAATACTTACATATGGAATGTAACTCCATCTTTTTGTAAATTTGAAGTATTAGTCTTCTTTTTGCACACGTTAACCGCACAAATCAGAATTTTTTATAGAGCACACACAACGACGGAAACGATTCTTTTAACGACCAAATCGATTCCGTAAACAGTTTTTATAAACGCACAAGATATTTAAATACAATACTTGCGCAGAGGGGAATAATCATGCGAGGCGAGTCCATTGGGTTGAATGGAACTTTTTAGAACCAAAGTTGAAATGGCTAATAACTGTATGGGGGCCAATGACTATACCGTTTCCCCTATACGTTTATTTTTTTAAAGCCAACCCTTAGATTTTACAAATTATGTTTAAAATTGAACTCGCAAGCACAATGGCATTTCTTACGAGACTAGTTTATACTACATTATTAACAATAAAAGTGTAACGAGACTGCTTAACCCTGCAGCGGTCGCGCCTTATAAAATAACGTAAATGGTCGTGTGGATTACGTATGTAGTCCAAATTAAAATAAGAAGAAAACTTTAAAATATCAATTAAAATGAATTTTTATTTTATTATAAATATGAAACAGGGTAACATTTAGTCAACGGTTGATCATATTTAATAAACAAAACAATTTATACGTCCTTTTTTATTTAAATTAAAATATTTAAAAAATATTTTACATATTAATATATGAAAATATCACATTAATTTCAAAGTTAGATCACAAATCAGTTAACATATTTTTTCTAATCATTTGGTTCCATAAATATCCAAATTTGAGATTATTATACAGTGGTTTTCTATTGTAATTCACGCAACAACTGTAGGGTTAGTGTTTAATTGGAAATGGTGTCATATTGATGTGTGATGGGACTGTGATGTGCCGATCGATATCGTTAATTTTTCATTATTATTCATTGAAGAAGCATTAAGATTTATCATGAAACACTCAACAAAAAAGATTACCTGTTATTATAAAAGCTTAGCACGAAGCTTTAGCGCGAAGCGATCGTTCTCCTTTTTTCTAACCTCCATGGTTTTCACATTCATGTAGCGTTCTCTTTTTATGTCTAGGAGTTTTCTTCCGCGTGCGACCTCTCTGTGGAATAGTTTGCCACTGACAATTTTTCCGGACCGATACGACCTGGGGACCTCCAAAAAAAGAGCTTACAATTTTCTAAAGGGCCGGCAACGCTCCTGCAATTCCTCTGGTGTGGCGGATGTTCATGGACGGCGGTAGTCACTTAATATCACGTGAACCGTATGCTCGTTTGGCTATTCTTTATAAAAAAAAATTCTCTGTATGGAGTGTAGAGGTAAGTAGTACAGACTCTGAATAAAAAAATGTCCGTAGGAAAGCGCTAAATACGCGCTATAATAAACGCGCCACTGTAGCTTCAGTCTAAATTTCAAAGAAATTTTTATATTTTTTTTATTGCTCAGACTTTCACCATAATTCTTTTTACAATAATTATTTCATTGCTTTCAAGACTTTTATTTTCAAAACCACTCTCAACGTATTGTACGGCGATTTATTATACCCTGTAGCTACTCGAGCGCCGTTTTGGAGAGTTTTTGAACTGTTGTTTACTGCTTACGAATGGACATATTTTCAACCATTCTCCTATTGGAGATTGTCCTCCTTATTACACCTATTACACTATCTTGAATAAGGGCCCTAAATAACCAAGTATAACGATATCTGCAGATGGGACCTGTTTTAGCACGGAGTCTGCAGCCATCTGAACGTGGTTGATCTGTCGGTCTGTATCGGCATTACCGCTATGGGACCTATGTAGGGACACGTAGACGCGGGGATGGTCGTCGCTGTGTACGCGTAGCCTTAAGATGGACATGTCTGTACCTTCAAGGCTGCCGAGGCGTCTAAAACAGATGTCCTCTCTGACGTATACGCAAAATCCAGCCCGGGGCACAAAAGAGTGTTCTAATCTGTACCCTGGGTAGAAGAGATATGAAGTGTCTGCAGGAGAGGACACCTGTGTCTCGGTTAGAAAGAGCAAGGCCTACTTCGCCGTTTCCAGATGGTAGTGGGCGTGATGGTGGTGGACGTGGTCCCAATTAGGGACATCAGTTATTACACTACCCTAATTTTACGCCCTTACTCCAGTGTTGCAGTATAAAGAAAAAAAGATGTACTAAACTCTTTTCAAAATTGTGCTATATTTTACAAAATCTGGTATCTAAAATCCACTAAATTCCGCTAAGATGTATCCTGTAAATAAAAGGAAATAAGAAAAAATGCGATTATTTAAAGATATTTTTATTTATTTAAGTAATATTAGGTATTAAAATCATCTAAATTAGACAATTCCACTACATCTTCATGGTCATCATCACCTCCAGATAGCATCAGCCTACATCTGCTTCTGTTCTTTTTTGTCACAGTTTTAGTAATTTGTTGAGGATATTTTCAGGTAGGATCTTTATGTGTGGCAGATATGCTTAAGCTTTTTTTTATTGATGACGTATCATTATATTTAAGTTCACTGTTTCGGCTGACATACGCTTACGTAGCTTGCTTTTGACAATGTTCATAACGTCAAAAATCCGCTATACTTCGGCGTTTAAATGTTGATACGACAACATGCTGATGACTAACTCCACTCATTCCCAAAAGGCATTCATCCTAGCCGCATTTTTGTATCGGGAGACTTGAGCCCAAAATTTCACTATATCATCACCATCACCTTATTTGACCGATTGAATTCCATGCCATTTGCACTCAGACCTATACTTATAGCTTATAGCCAGAAGACACACACATCCTCGGTGGCACTTCCATTAAAAATTTTCACGAAACAATTAAAACTGAGCTAAACGACTGACACGAAACTTGAAAGTGGGAAAAACCAATTCTTCTCAGATATTAAAGCTTAGGGGATTAATATAATGAAAAGTAATACAGCTCTACATGATAGCATAATGCAAAAGGGAGATAAAACAATTAACGAATCCGTAACATTGTAGTCAGAGAATACCCGAACGATAGACTAGATAAGCTAATGTTTTTATTAGACTATGCTGCCAACTAATGTCAAATTTTCCGCCAGATTCCACTATATATTTTTTAGCGTTTGGATATCTATAAAAAGCGCTATAGACCCTAGAATTGCACTAGATCTAGCGCCAAATGCACTAAAACGGCAACACTGCCTTACTCAGTCATTGGAATAGACAAGTGAAAAAAGTGTATATATTTATTGAATCGATATTTTTAAAGTAATTGTAACAAATCATTTACTGTGTTTTGTCCTGCTAACTCTAGTTGCGTAACTGTAGTTCAGTTCGAGTTGTGTGAATTTCAACTCGAATTAACTCGAGTCGTAATTTTTCTGACTAAGCACATCTATAGGAGGCAACATCGCTCATTAAATACATCGAAGCTTATGTCCGATATATCGATTTTTTCGATGTTTTTTATTATCATTTGTACATACACAGTCTGTTCGAAAAGTATCGCCAATTTTGTATTTTTTCAAAAAGTATTTATTTATTCATGAATATCTATTTTTTCTCCTTCAAAATAATCCCCCTCGGATATAATGCACTTGTACCAACGTTTTATCCAATCCTCGAAGTACTTAAAAAAATCATTTTTCGTGATCTTCTTCAGCTCCTCCTTCGATGCCAACTTTATCTCCTTGATTATAACGTAGCGTCGTCCTTTCATGGGCCTCTTCAGTTTTGGGAACATAATTATGCACTGCTGAATGAACAAACAAATGTTTCTAATTCACCTTTGTTAAACATCTTTAAGGCCAATCTTTAATAATAATTTTAAGATTAATAATAATAAATAACTATAATAATATAAATAAAACAATAATAATAATAGTGTATTTAAAAATATTAATCATAACAATAATGATAATTAGTAGCAGGTTTGTTATCGCACGGCGCGGTCACTCGCTACTTTGGTGGGGAGCGATTGTGTCGGCGTGTATAATTAACAGCTGCATTTGGCTCGCCGCTCACTTAGCGGTCAGCCGCCGTAGAGTCTACATTACCTGAAGATGCCTCGTGTAGAGTATTATCGTCGATGGTGTGTCTTGTCTGGAATAGTGGTGCTGGGACTAGTGGTGACAGAGTTAGTGCATGCAATTGAGGGAGGGCAGGAGGTGCTCTTCAATCCAGGTAAGACACATCATTGTATTTTTTAGCGGAAGGTTGCGAAGAAATTTATATTTATATTTTTTATTAAGGCAATAAGACTTTTAAGAGTGCAGTTTTATTTGTATTATTACTAATTCTGTCATTCAATAAAAATAAAGAAAAATGAACTTTATTTCAAGCACGTTAAAGTCTTTGCGTTCGTGGATTTGTACTGCGACCACAACATTCTTCCGGAATTAGTATGACTAATTTGATAAATAATCAGTGCATAAAAATGTTTAACTAAAAATTCAGTGTATGTATTATGATTATAACATAATATACTAATTGGGGTGTCTGAGGGTGTGCGTTAATTACGTTACATATTCTATATGGAATAAAAAATCATTTTCAACAGAAATAAAACAAAGAAGTATAATAATCAAACATTATATTTGTTATTTTAGGAAGTTAGACACTATTTATTTTTACACATTTAATTTTATCGAATAATTATCGGAAACTAAGAATTAATTAAATATTTTTTAATTTAACGTTTATTTATTTCGAATTAAGTTTTAAAATAATAATTTTGACAACCTCGCGCCTGGTAAGCGGTTTCTCTCCTGGGTGATTGTAGATCCAGCCTCTGAAAATAACCCCTCACGGGATACCGAAGTTGCCACGATAGGCAGATAGATGGCTATGAAGCCCGGGAAACAACCCATTCATGCCATCCCACATGTAATATATGAAATTCGTCTTCTGCTTTAGTTTTATTTCTTACGTTGTGGTGCGTTAATTTTTTATGGTATTTCCAAATTATGTCACCTTCAGTATTATTGCATTTTCTGAATACATTTACGAAACTATTCCGAAATACAAACAGGTGAATAACCGTTCATCCTTAAAAATCAATATTTCAGAAAAATGATTATAACCAAATACGAAGTACCGTAAGCCGATAAAATAATTTCTATTACAAAATAACTATTACCGTATAAGATTGTACTTAAGCTACTCATTAAGTAAAAGCTCAAACAATGTAATTACTAACAAGAAAATGCGTCAAACCATTTTCAATATTTGTAAACTTATCTTAATTATCACAATAAAAATAACTACAATTTTACATCGAAAATGGAATTATCGATTGAAGACAATTGCACTTCTGAAGTTCAAGTATATTATTTTCGGCTGAAAGACCATTCGCCTGTTTGTTGATTCGTAATAAAAAATTTCAAGATTAAGTTATTTCTGTAAACGTTATCTAACTTTGACATATTTTGTTTCGAATACTGTAGGTTCCACAAGGAGTTTTATTCCGCGTACGACTTCTATGTGGAATAGTTTACCACGGGCGATTTTTCCGGACCAATACGATCCGGGGACCTTGAAGAAAAGAGCTTACTCCCTTTTAAAGGCCCAGCAACGCACATGCAATTCCCCTGGTGTTGCAGATGTTCATGGGCAGCGGTAGTCACTTAACATCAGGTGAACCGTATGCTCGATTGCCCCCCCCCCTCTATTAAAAAAATGAATATTTATTTGTCGGCAACATAAAATTCGCGATAATCATCATTCGCAACTTCTAACATACGAAATTTTATATCTTCGAATAGTTGATTACTAATCTTGAATGGCAAGCCAAAACCTCGTTCATAAAACATCGCTTGTGAATAACCATGTTTATAAACGATATATTGATGTTTGAAAGAATAGATGTATCGTTTCCATCCCTAGTCGCACATCGAATAAGTGCCTTAACTCCCTTAGTATTATTACACTGCACGGTGGCAAGGACACTACAGACCGGGTCCACTTTGACACCCTAATTACGGACCCTTACTCCCTTTCTCTTACTACACTACCCTGTAGGGACCCTGATTCAGGGTAGTATAATAGGGGTATTACCTCTATACTCCATGATTCTCTGTCTAAGTTCTTCTCTGTCTACGTGTTCCGTAGACAGAGAAACATAAAGAGGCTTCACTTTTAATTCCGCGATCACGTTCTCCAAGTTCGCTACTTTCTTCGCCAAGCGCCTATTTCTTTCACGAAGCGCTCGAAGTTTTTTCAATCTATCCACTGATTGTTTTATAGTGCGATTCAGCTTACTTTGTAATGCTCGAAGTCTGTAGTCTTGTGATGTTCCCTTTAAAATTAAAACAATTTGGATTACCTACTTGAACGTGAAAATAATACATTATTATACTAGGTACCATATTTTAGATGAGATGATTAATATGTCCATGAAAAATCTTGAGAGTTCTAGTTAACACCGAGCCTACTATTCGAATATACGGTATAATATAACGGTAAGTCTCAATTTATTACACCCTTATAGTAAAACTTCGTTCATACGAAATGTGTGAAAGTAAGGTTTGCAACGTTGCAACATAGTTTATACGTATAAATAAACTATTTAAAAAGGTAAATTTAGATTTACTTTGGACGTCGATGCCATCAAATTAGTATTAGCTGCAGCTGCAGTCATTGTTACTTCAGTTGCTTTAGCCTGAAATAAAAACAAAATTATAATAACATGCAAAAAAAAAAACGAAACAACGCATGTACATGACAAACTTTTTTATGTTTTTTTTTTTGAAAGCTTATTTACTAACTGAAATAAAATGTTAATTTATTGTAATATTGAGATTATCAAAATTAAAAGAAGAATATCAGGACATATAATATTTTTTTCTTTACGGCGTGTCGACTCTGGCTTATATAATATTTTGAATTGGCTATTCATGTACAAATGCTTTTTCGTTTTTGTGTTACAAAGCTGACTTTATGTTAAAGAAATCATTTAAAAAAGTAAATTTAGACTTACTTTAGAAGTGGATACCATAACATTGCAATCTGTGTTCTTAAGAACATTAACAGGAGCTGCAGTCACTGTAGCTACAGGTTCTTTAGCCTGAAATAATAATAAAACTATAATAATAGTAAAACATCCAAAAATCGTGGTAAGCCAAGAGCCGTGGTAGCTCAGATGGTTAACGCTAGCTGTAAATGCTATTCTGAGAATTTCAAGTTGAGAATGCCTCAAACTCAATGTAAAGCAAAATGTTCAAATAATATCATGCATTAGTGAGGTTGGAGACATTTTCAACTTGTGATTCTTCTAAATAACTTATAAGGTGATTTTTCTTGTATTTCAAAAACTGATTTATTGTCCCAAAATTTGTAATACAGTGTAACAAATTTTAAGTATCTTGTACAATATGTATATAGTTTTTATTTATATCATTATTTTAATTTTACTTCAATATCAAAATAAAACAAAATTATAAATATTGTAATCAAACATATTGTCTATCTATATTCATTAAATGCTTTGAATGGTATTTTTTCTATCTAAGAAAAACATTACTTTATCTACATTTGTCCCATTAGTAAAACTCATGACTTACCACAAATGGAACGGCATTAGTGTGTAGAACAGTCATCTTATTCTTTCTAAGCAATAGATTTGGGTCAAAATGTTTGCTGCATATTTTTGAAAAAGTTTTTGGTTTAAAATTTATACGGCCTGTGGCATCAATCCACCGCATGCGAATTGTTTCATTCTTGGGAAATCTGTGAAAATGAGCATTTCTAGTCATACTACACTCATAACGCTTCTACTGCATTTTGGTGGTATTTGCAAACAGGGAGATTATCGTCGAATACTGGCAACACCAAGAGACCTAACGTAGTTTTAGGTTATACAATAATCTTTATGACTTTTAAACGTATTTAGATAAAATTTAAACGTATAATTATATAGTTCTGTAACGAAATTTAAAATAACAATTGAATTTTATACGTAATACCAGATAAAATGTACTATACTACTTACGAGTGGAATGATATACCGCTGAGTTTAGGTTTACTATCACTTTTACATCCTAAGACACTACATCTCATTTTTAAGGTTTTTAATTGTTATAAGAACTGAACTGAACAAGAATCACCAATCTTAAGCTCACAAAACTTTTTTTTCTCACAACCAACTTGTAAATTCCTTAGATCGCTACGTACTGTCAAAGTTATTTAGCAAAGTGTAGTTTGCTAAGCAAAAAAAACCGGCACGGAGAAAGGGACAAACAATCACACTACTCACACGTACTTCTATGCAAGACGTACGCATAAAGCTATCTTTTTCGTGTGCTATAGCGAAAGAAGTAGGCATGTCGATTTAAAATCGATTAATCGAAAAATCGATTCTTTGGAGTAAAATTATCGATTTTTTAGATCGATTCGAAGCACCGCATCGATTCACTGAATCGATCTAAAAACCTCTTGAATCGGACCGATTCATTTGATACAAGAACTAGCTAAAATTCCCAAATTGGATGGGGTGCTCTTCATCCAACAATATCGAAAAGTTGTCATTTCATTTTCATTTCTAAAATTCTTAAGCCCACTTTCCACTAAGGGATATAATGTAATTTATATTACATCTCGAGATATAAATTAATAACGCTCACCGTACTTTTAAATGGAACCGTTTCCACTGAGATGTAATATATATTACATCCCAAACTATAAACATTTTTTCGATCGACCGAGCGATATTTTCATATTATATTTCACCTCCTGTACTATAATATAATATTATAGCTGTGAACCTGTTTGAACTGTGAACTTGTGAATTTACATTATTCATTATCGTACATACTATGAGCTGTAAGTACAGACAGAGTAATTTACCTACCTACTGTAAATAAATACTTACCTAGATACTGTAAATAAATATTATACCGTACGTTGAAGTTTATAGAGGTTTATAGTAAGGAAGTAACCAGTATTGTGTTCGTGTAGCATTCATTTCGATATGATAAATAGTGAGTTATTAGATTGAAACAGATTTATCGAGAAATGTACGTTGTAGTTTGCACTTCTGTTAAAGTATTGTTGTTGTTTTTAGCCTAAAATGTCAAATAAAAGTGTTACGTGGAATCACTTTGTAAAAAAAGGGATCGAGTGGAGTATGTGCGAACCACTCCTAACACAAGCGCTTCAAGCTTGAGTGGTTAAAAGGAATATTAGTAATGTTAATCAATAAGATTACTAATATTATATTTAAAAAAATTAAAAAAAAAACAGTTTAGAAGTTAAAGAAAAAAAATCGAAAATTCTTGAAATTTCATGTTTGAAAATGTCGCGATTAATCGAAAATCGATCTTTTAATCCTCGATTTAATCGATAATCGATTCAAGTACCTTCGATTCAAATCGATTCAGAGATCGATTCTTTTAAGAGTGAATCGACATGCCTAGAAAGAAGGCGTCAATTTGTCTATAGGTTTCTCTGCCTACGACGCGTTCCAATTTTTTTTATTAACTTACTATACGGCTCTGGGTTCCAGCCCTTCTGAGCCTTCTATGATAAAACAATGAAAATGACATCATCACAGATATTTATTTAAAAACTCTATACAAGAAAATGGTATTCGATATTCATGGGAATCATGGAATACTTATCTCTCTAACGACCCAACGAAAGATGCTATTAAAATAAATTAAATTTACGCATGGTTTTTTCGCCACATTAAATATAGTTATGAAAATATACTCTTATCTTCCAAGCTTCTTAGCTTCCACACAAAACTATTATGATAATGAAGATCTAAGGTTCTACGCTTACGTATTCAATTGTGATTGTTGATTATAATAATATTTATTTACTATAAAGCAACATATTATTATAATAGCAAAATATAAACAAATGATTCAAGTTTGATGTGCCTTGAAATGATTTAGCCTTGGATTTTACTCAGGTTAGTCATACACTGATGCCAATAAAATAAAATATATTTGGAATAAAAAGTTTTGCCTTTTCATATTCTTGTGATAATTTAAAAACTGTGTTTTTTATACGATTTGGAATAAACTAAGAGAATATATGAAGCTTTGCTTAACTTTATTTGTTTACTGATATACAAATTTGAACGAAATATTTACTAATAACGATTGTGTTTATTAGTTATCTAAATAGTCTTAAATAGGGTTGGATTTAGAATCGTTTGGCAGGAATTTGTGGGAGTAAGGTGTTTTATTTGGTAGAGGTTTGGTCCCCGATTATAATAATATATTCTGTTGTACAAAAATATTTATTTTTTATAATAAGGGTGACAAACGAGTACACAGTCCACCGGATGGTATATGGCTGCTGAGGCACATAGACTTCTACAACTATTCTCTTTTGCTAATCAAAATGCAAGTGCATTGTCAGCCGTGAAGACTAAGATGAAATGCCTTTTTTCCAGTAAAAAGGGTCTTCGGTTCTCTACACTTACCATTGGAAACAGCAGCATTAAGCTGCTATTTTACACTGGTATTCTGTGAGAGGATGGTCCTTCCCGGTCAAGCCCACCCATTTGTGCTACAACTATACAATTAATTTGGCTGCAGCATTGCTCTACCATTTTTAATTATTATTCTATTATTGTAAAAATTTATTAGATATAATCATCATTATTTTTACTGCTTTTATTTTACATAAGCCTCGACTTACCTACAGCAATTGAAAACTAGTTCAAAATTAACAGTTTTCGTTTAGACTCTAAGAATGAAAAGTGAGGCCTATTTTAGAACTTGAGATACTATTGACATCAACTGTCTGCTGTCTTTAACTATTCACATTTTATTGTTTTCCAGTTCTTTTTCCTTTTTTATAGTAAAAGGGTTAGAGAGCACACAATCCACCTGATGTTAAGTGGTTGCAGTGGCTTATTGACATTACATCTATCTTGGATTACTAATCAAAATGCAGATCCATTGTTACCCATGTGTACTAAGACAGAATGGCTTGTTTCCAGTAAAAAGAGTCTCCGGTTCTCTACACTCACCATACAAAACACAGCAGCATTAACATGCTGTTTTATGCTGGTATTCTGTGAGTGCGTGGTCAGAGCGTGGTGCCGACCCATTCATGCTACAACTATACTATTAATATAGCATCATAACAATACAGTTTAGTATTATAGCAGAGGAAATCCATTAAAAAAGCTAACAGCTATTATAACCATAAAAGCTAGCAAGATTAGAAAGAAGAGACCCGGAACAATTATTTGTAAGCCATATAAATACTTGTTCCATGCTGGGTTCGACCCCGCAGCGCTTTGTGTTACAATTCATTGCTAAGTCACTGTGCCACAGAGCTGCCAATTTAGTGTAATTAGAGGAATGTGGGGAGAAAATCTGGCATTGGGGCAAGAAGTGGATTGTTAAAACCTATCTGGCTATGCTGAAGTTATCTGGAAGAATGATTGATAAGATGGAAATAGTACTCTTTGACTTTACAGTGGCATGTGAAGAATGGTATTTTACTTGCTGGTGCATCTGCTAGTGTGTGTTACTTCTAACTCTTGTTCTGTTAATATTGTGTGAATATGATATCAAACAATTGATATCATATTCACACAATATTAACAGTTATCAAGAAGATCTGATAGGTGGCAGAGTATTCAAGTTATTAACTAATTCCCTATTTATGTACTAAAATCACTTATTTTAACCCCTCAAGCGCCATAAAAATCCCATGCAGTCACATGCACCCAGCAAATCCCGAGCGCTCACAAGCAACCGCACCCACCCACAGTACTTAAAACCATTAAAACTTATATTTAGAGACTACTTTTCTATGAAGAAGTTTAGCATTATAAAATCTATACAAAATTCTCTATCTTGTGGTCTAAACAAAAGTCAGGTTTTACTTCATTACAAAAAGATTTTGTTGTATTTTTATAACAAAAAAAAAAAATATACCAAGAGAATGTCGGAAGCATGAAAATCACAATTATTTCAATATATATTATTTGAAATTATTTATGTAAAAAGACACAAAAACTTTCATTACAATTTTATAATAGAACACTATACTGAAACACTAATAAAACACTAGAAAAATCCAAAAATCAACACGATAACATTCATGCGATATGAAATAAAGTAGATTATAAATAAATATTCATAAGATAACAGTTTTTTTTATTGCACTAGAGGATAGAGTATTTCATATTGATTATATAATACCAAACTTCTTCATAGAAAAGTGGTCTCTATATAAAAGTTTTTTTTTATAGAATAGGGTGACAAACGAGCACACAGTCCACCTGATGGTAAGTGGTTGCTGCGGCCCATAGACATCTACATCTATCTTCCATTACAAATCAAAATGCAGATGCGTTGTCACCCGTGAGGACTGAGATGTAATGCCTCATTTCCAGTAAAAAGGGTCTCCGGTTCTCTACACTCACCATACGAAATACAGCAGCATTAAGCTACTATTTCACGCTGGTATTCTGTGAGAGCGTGGTCCTTCCCCGGTCGAGCCGACCCATTCGTGCTACAACTATACTACTAATATAACTGCAGCATGGCTCTACCACGTATAAATTTTATGGGTTAAAGTGCTGTGGGTGGGTGCGAACTCATGAGATCGCTAGGGATTTGACGGAATA